AAAGAAAGAAATCGAAAAGCCTAAAGACGTAGGTCACTTTCTCGTCTCATCTCAAAATTTTGATTTCTGCGCATGCCTGAGCAAAAATGTCGTAAAACGCGCTGCTAGTGGAAAGAAAGGCATGCTGTCGTGTTGCAAGTGCCCTTTTGAGTAGATCGGAGCTAATTTAGCCCATATCCAGCCTGAAAATCTCCAAAATGACCAAAAAATGCGTTTTTGGCAAAAAACTCAGAGTCAATGAGTTAAGAATAAACCTGATACGAGGCTCAGATTTTAAAAATAATATAATTTTGTGTGGTGAGAATTTATAAATACTGAACACAACTATATGTCTTTCACTAAATCGTATAAAATTCTCCCTTCTTCTAAACATCAAAACTAGCCAAAATGCAACAAAAATTAACAGCACTAGCCGTATGCTCGATGCTAATAGCATTTCTACAAGAAGTTATGTGCGTCATGTCAGGCCTAATGCCTGCAGGCTGGCTGTAGAAGTGTTTTAACACAGATCCAGAAACCAAAGACATTTGAAAACAGAAATGTCATACGCTATGTTCTAAGAATATTCACCAGAATATTTTAGCCTAAAATTGGCAGAAAATAAGAATATTCAGCCTCGGCCAGAAAAAGAATGTTCTTGTGAAAAAAGAGTGTAGTTCGAAATAGTATCAGTACACGCTACGTCATGCATGCAAGCGACATTGCTAAATTTAGAAAATGACGTACAGTATGCAAATTTATCTCAACGTTGCCTTGCGCTCAATAGTGAAAGACACGGAAAGAATTTGATATCATACATCGAAAAGTGGTCAATTCTCTGTACTTCTCGCTAGCTAGTCTTGAAGCCAGGTAGGTAACAAATTTAATAATAGTAGTAATAATAACAAGTGAAAATAGTTGGTTTTAGCGCTACGTGAACTAGCTAAACTACCGAAGACTCTGTCGCGTAGCCATGTTATTACGATAATAACTTGCGTAATAACTTGTTCTAACGGGTTGCTTTTTTTCCATCCGCACTGTTGCATTTTAATACTCTCGTGTCATTATTCCTATACCTTTTACAGTTTTAGGTGATGTTTGACACGTTTAAGGACCGTACGGTTAGAATCATTAGGATAATTCGCTGTTATTGCTTTGTCAGGAACACTGCACTTGACGTTTGATTAAATATTCCTATATTTGCAAAATCAACACAGCTAGCTACGTAGCTTGCATGCTGAAGCACTGAAAGGAAGTACAAGACAAAAGGAGAAAACATACTACAACAACGAGAAGTTAAACGAGCATAAACATTAACCACAATGAGTTACCCACCTGCCCCACCGCCGTACAATCCGAGCGCTCCTCCACCGCAAGGCGGCGGAGTTGGCTTCGAGCAGTATCAACAGGGAACCCCGTATCCCGCTCCACCACCGTATTCAAACCCGTACCCAGCACCGTACCCGCAGCATGGTCATCACCAACAACAGCACGGACATTATCCCCCTTATGGCCAGCCCCACATGGTTTACACGGAACAACCTAAGACCGTGTATGTCTACGACGACCGCCGACGAAGGCACGACAACAGTGATGCAGCGGATTGTTTTCTTTGGGGACTTTGCGCTGCCTGTTTGTGTTGCTGTTTGCTTGACAGTTAAATTATTTGACTTGAAATTTTCTCATTTTTAAGAGACTAGTTATAGCAGAGTATATCCAAGTATTACCGATCAGTATTACGCGCGTTTGTAGCGTTTTATTCCGTCAGCTCTATGTTAAATGCTTGTCACGTACGAGCAGATAATCTAATAGTTGGCAGTTTTCGACATGTGAATAAATAGTAATAATTTAGCAGGTTGGTCTGCCATATATGGCAGCATGATGAATGCATGTTGGGTAATTATGATAATAATTATTATTGTTAAACTCATTGTCACAGGGCTTATAGATTCATTATTTTTTTGCGTAAAATATTGTTTGGGGAAGGAGGTTTGGGTTTTTCATGTTGACTTTTTTAATATTGTTTGATTAATAATGGTAATAGGACTGATTGGAGTCCAATTCGGTCTGTAATCATATGAGTGATTAACAAAATCGGACGACCGTGAAGCGGGAGTCGGATTTGTTAATCACGAGTATGATTACAGACTGAATTGGATGGCACGATGTCCTGTTACCAATTAATCAAAACTATGACAAAATTTGAGAAACAAACAAACCATCGATTGATCGCTGAACGATTAAACATTATTATGAATGCTGAAAAACACAGCA